GCAGAATCTTGCGCGGAGCCACCCAACCACTTGGGAATTATGCCCATTGATCCAACTAGAAATAATTGCCGATTTCCACAAAATAAAATAGAGCGCGTCTCCCTTCTGCAGGACCAAGCGCTGTTGTTTTTTTTTTTCCCCCAGTCAACACAGTGCACCCCTCTCTATCACTTCTCCCACCCCGCCCCACCGCACACTCGCATCCCGCCCCCGTCTGGCCACTCTGGGACCCATTGCCTCTCCTCACTGAGGGAGCAGCGTAACCGAATGGCCTTTCTCTCTGCAAGGAGTCTTGGCCGACATCTAAGATATCTGATATCCACTAACATAGCCTGTAGTGATTATTTCAGTGCAGGAACGGACCGGGGACCCCAAATGTACCAAGCTAAAAAGGCCTCCTCATCAGAAAAATAAAATCGTGTAAGTAAGAAGCCTTTACCCTTTGCAGTGAACCTTGGGAAACACAGGTTTCCCTAACAAATTGGGGCTAAGGTGGGCTAGGGTTCTCCTCTTTTCCTCTCATACTCGTGTCTCCTCTTTATCACCCCTACTTCTGCAGAGTTCCCTGTGTTTTTCTGTCTCCTTATTTCCCCCGGGGGTCCAGGCATCCTAGACTTGTGTCTTACGGTAGACCTTGCTAGACGAAGAGGAGAGAACCCAGCCTCCCGCCACTGCCCCCCAGCCAAGCGTGACAAGGCGCGGGCTGGTTGCGTGACTTATGACGTCTCTGAGCCCTATAGGAGCAGGGGCTGGTGAGATAGTCTCTATCGCCCGGTTGCCTCTTTATTTTATTGGGGTATGCCTGGCAATAAACAGTAATATTTAATTTGTTGGAGACCACAAGCCAACGACGAGCTGGGAGGTACTTGCTTTTCTTGACAGACGCTGGAAGAAGTCTTCGTTTTAAAAAGGGGTCTTTTTTTTTTCGGGGGATGTCCTTTCAAAACTCCTCCTGAGCTACCTTGCCTCAGTGAGCAAAAAAAAAAAAAAAAACCCTTTTGGCTTCTGGGTTGAAAGAGGCGTGAGATTATTGGAGGTGAGTCTTGTTGGGGACAACTAAAGAAAGGGATGGATGACTACGGGGGGGGGGGGCTTCTTTATTTTCCCTGGAACTTCCCACCCTACCTGGGCCTGGCCAACACCTCCCACCCCCCAAATGCTACTGCAGAGCCATCTATGGACTTGCATTTTATCTTCTGTCAACCTGCAAGAACAGATCTCTTGCGCCAGGTTACAAGGAAGATACTCAAAACAGCATTGTGCGATGGCTGGCGCTGTGCACCATCTAAGCTCCGAGAAGGAAGCAGATCTGGCTGGGTGGTTGCTTGGGGAAGGCCAGATTTTCCCTCTCGGGAAGGGCCTGCTGATTATTTATGGGGATTAATTTTATCCTCAAATCTCCGAGAATGTAAAGGGATTGGAGAGGTCTGTCTGGATTTCCCCTTCCTTCAACCAGAGATGCAGGCTCTCATCCCAAGGTCAGATTGGCTTTCAGTCCTCCACCGGAGGTTGAGGTTGAAGCCGTTCAAGCCCAAAGGCCCCCGAGCGGACTTTTCGAAGAGTGAAGGTGTTTGCACAAATAAATAGCGAGCCTTGGCCAAGGTCTGCGTGGAAACAGACCTAGAAGGTAGAGGGTGGGGTTTCTCCCTAGCTGCCCCACATTTACAACTGAAAAGTCCGCTGGAGAAATCTTGCAGGGGCAGCCTACACATTTTGTAGCCACAGAGGCTATGGTGTTGCCGGGGTCCAGTCTAGGGCATTTTTTTCTCTCTCTCTCTTTCCAGTTCCTGGCTCTAAGAGTGTAGTCTCTAATTAGAGTCCCAGAAAAGAAGCAGGCTGAGAGGACGTAAGGGGGCTGGAGTGGATAACAGAATGGGAATGCTGGCATTTGATCAGGCAGCACTGTGTCGTCCCAGCCCGGTTCTGCTTACACCAAGACCTGCTGTCAGTGTCTCTGCTGTGGACTGCTTTCATTCAACCTCTGAACAGCAGACTTCAGAGAGGAGAAGGGCAGGCCAAGGAGCACTGGGAGCTGAAACCCCTAGCCAGCCTGCAGTGACTGATTATTTTAATAAAACTGGGCACCACCCTGTGTACAGCCCAGTGTGTGTACGCATGTGGGGGGGGCACACAATGGTGTCTTGACATCTTTGATTTTGGTCTCCCATCCCAGGGCACCTTCTCCCCCAAGTTTTAGAGAGCTTGTGGGGGGGGGACTGTGATGAGTCTGGGTGGAGGACAGTTGTCAGCTAGTCCTGGCTCCGCATGGGGCCAGCCAGGGTCACACCGCTCGCTCTCTGTCTGAGGTCAGCACTAGAGACAGAAATTGGGAGAGGCTGCTGAGGCCCCGTGGGTGTGCACATGCGGAATGCACCCAATCTTGGTTCTCTGTAGAGCCGGGTCATTGAAATTGCTGAAATTGCTGGGCTTCTCAGAGAGAAACTGACTAGCTCTGCTCTGATTCCCATAGCTTTCCTTCCTTCCTTCCTTCCTTCCTTCCTTCCTTCCTTCCTTCCCTCCTTCCTTCCTTCCTTCTTCCTTCCTTCCTTCCCTCCTTCCCTTTTTTCCTTTCTCTCTTTCTTTCCTCCTGGCAGCCGCTGGCTCAGTGCAGCCAACTGAGATGGAAGGAGGATGGAAAGGGAGTGGGGGTGGGGAATCATGTCTAGAGCAGAGAGTCCTGTTGTGATTCAGGCGTTTGTAGGGGTATCTAGTGAAAAACTGGAAAAGGCGGTGGAAGGAGAGAGGGAGGGAGGGAGGAGAGAGAGAGAGAGAGAGAGAGAGAGAGAGAGAGAAGAGTGGAGGAGTTGGAGAAGCAATTTCTATACTTTGAAAGCATCCGCATCCCAGCTGAGTTAGATTGTCTAGGAGGGAGAGAGGGGAGAAAGGAGAGAGAGAGAGAGAGAGAGAGAGAGAGAGAGAGAGAGAGAGAGAGACTCATACCTCAAATTCTGGAACTTTAACTCCCGAAAGCGTCTCTCTCTGAAAACAGCTGCGTGCGCGGATTCCCGAGGCTCTCTCAGGCCCCCCAGCTTTTCTTCTCTGGGGTGGGGGGTGTGCAAGGGCAGAGCAGGACACTGTGATTGTATGGTTTAGGGGTGCTCCGGGGATCTGCCGTTCAGTGTTGCGTTCTTCTGAACCCTGCCGGAGCCTGACAGCGGGAAAGTATTCAGGGCTAGCGAACAGCCAGCGAGCCGCGGAGGAGGTGTGTGCCTGAGGTGGGCAGTCGCTGGGAGGCTCCCGCGGTGGGTACTTCTCCGTAGCAACAGTAGCAGCTAGCTTGGGCAAGCAGACCCCAGGACGAACTCCAGCGTCACCATGCCTGCCATGGGGTGGTGGTGAATGCATCCGGCTGCGCACGGCGAGGTAACGGTACTACCAGATGGCCGGGGAGGCTCGGGAGGGGGCAGGCAGCCGCAGTCGGCTGGGGAAGCAGAGAATGGCGGACTCCAGCCCCGTCTTGCATTCTGCAGCCTGGCTTGCGGAGGTTTTTATCCCGGCCTGAACCTTTCAAGGCAAGGGGGAGCAGCGCTGAGGCTTGCAGGGCACACGGCCTGGTTCTGTCAAACCACATCTTGCTCGCCTCCGCCAGCCCCTGAGCTTGCTGGGATCCTAGCAAGGGCTCCGGGTGGGCTTCTCTCGATGGCTGGCTGTGAACGAGAGAGAGTGTGGGGCGCCAGCCCTGTTTTTCTTTGTTTTGAGAAGATTATGGGGCTCCCGTGGGCAGTCTCCCCCAAGCTCCTAAGTCCAGAGGAAGAAAGATGCGGGAGGACTGGGCCTCAGAAGCTATCCGTGGCCCGATATAAGTCTCATACCGCTACAAAGCAGGCTGGGATCCGTGTCCTTCTTACCTAAAAAGCTGCTAAAATGGGGGGGGGGGGGGGAGTCCCTTTCATGAAGTCTCTTAGTGTTTTGAGGGTGGAGGCGAGGTAGAAATCCTTACTCGAGGAAGGAGACTGAAAGAACTTCCACTGTTTCTCGTCTTCCTCGGCTGCACCCCCCCCCCCCCGGGCTGCCCTACCGAACACCACCGTCCCTCGCAGTCCATTCAATGCTCGCAGCCCAGCGTTTTAGGCCCGGTTTTAGGCTCTCCAACCCGGAGCCAGGCCTGCAGTTTGAGTGAGCCAGCCTTGACTGAAGCCCGAAGAAGTTCCCTTCAGCCTGGCTACTTCACAAAACGCCTGCCCTCCCCTCATCCCTGCCTCCCAGCGAGCCCTCTGAAAGAGCAAAGAGGGTTCAACACACCGGCTCCGCTCGCAGCAGAGAGTCACAGGCCCCTTCTCCTGTCCGCCTGCCTTCAGTGTGGCCACATTTTTTTTTTTTAAATAAATATCGGCTTTGCTAAGGTTAGGAAGAGGGGAAAACTTAATTTCAAAGGCTGTTTCATCTTAACAGTTTAATGAGTTGATGAGAGTTCTACTATTCTCTATCCTCCTGGTGTATCTCTCTTCAGTCCTTTCTGCCCTGTTTTTGTTTTGTTTTGTTTTGTTTTGTTTTAATTTTTGCAAGACGCGGGTTCTTCTGGGCCTTTTGCTTATTGTGCAAAAATAATGTCTCTTAGGAGGCTTCATTAAAAAAAAAAAAAAACGCTGGCATGACCTCCTGAATTTGACAAAGACCATTTCTCAAAGGGGCACTGGGTTTTTGTTTTCTGTTTTGTTTTGGGTTCCTACCCGATGGCTTCCAAAAATACCGACGCCTTATCTTTATTGGCTCTTCCAGGAGTTCAGACAAATTTGACGGACAGCTCTCTTATCGCCCAGAGCCTGTGCAGGGGAGATGCGGGGGGCCTTGCCGCCTCCTCCCTGTCTGAAGCGGGTATTTCGCAAGCGGTGGTGCGTGGTCGGAAAGTACAATAATAAAAAAAAGACTTTCCGCAGCCTCCTTCAGCTGGCAGTGGAGGGTCAAGCCGCTGTCCCCTAAGTCGCTAGACACACGCCAACTCTTTCTCTCTCTTGTCCTCAGAATAGAACCTCGCGCGGGCACGGGACCCAGGGCGCACCATGGCCGAGGCAGATGAGGGCTTCGGCCTGGCCCACACGCCTCTCGAGCCGGATTCCAAAGACAGGTCCTCCGATTCAAAGGCCGAGAGTGCTCTGGGAGCGCCCAGCAAGTCGCCGGCCTCCCCGCAGGCCGCCTTCACCCAGCAGGTAAGGAAAGCCGGCCAGGCACCCGGAGGGGGGCCCGAGCCCCGCTTCCCCGCGCTCCCCGCTGGCCGTGCAGGGGGCGGGCAGGGCCGGGTAGCGCTTCCTGGCTAGCCTCCCCCAGCCTCCCCCAATTGCACTCTACTCCAATCCACTTTATCGAGGCGTTTATCTTTATGGCCTGCGTATTTTGGAAACCTATTTACATTATTGGAGAGCTCTCAATTATCCGACTATTTGGGGTCAGCTAACAATGGCCCAGATAATTCTCTCCCTGCTGCCTTATTAAGGGTCGGGTCAGCGGCCGCTTCAGACCGGCATGAGCGATGGCCTGACCCTCCTTAGATCTTTCTTAGCCTTCGCCTCGGACCGCCAGCTCCGCGCAGCCCGCCTCGCCCCTCACGCAGTACCATTTATCTTGCTCCTGGGCCTGGAGGAGAGCATTCGGGGGGCTGAGACCAGGGCTCCGGGACCCCGAGCTCTGCCGGGCTGGAAGCTGGTGCCGAGTGGAGAGAGGGGGCCTCGCCCTGTGCTCTGCACTGTGGGGTCCCAGCGCTTTGGGCGCTCTCGGTGGGTTTTTAAAACCAGGAGTCATGGGGCACTGCTCAGAAAGGCTTGTCCAGAGGGACGGGTTTGACGCGGAAATCTGTCCTTGGGAGTTCGATGCCTTCTCAGGCTCTTTCCTTCGCTTCATGCATATTTGTGATAAAAGCAGAGAGGATTAAGAATAGTTGGGGGAATGTACAGAATTTTTTCTTTAAAGGGAAAACAAGTTCACTTTTGAGTTGGTTAAACTTGTTTCAAAGTGAAGATTTGTGTCTGACTGTTTTGGTATTCGTTTTTAAAAATAACTTCCAGTTGAAAGGGAAAATGTTAAAAGGCTTCGGTGGCTGCCCGGAGTCAAAGAAAGCCTGGGCAGTCGTTCTCGAACCGGCAAGGGTCCTGGAAGGACTGTCAATATAGACACTAGGAATTAATTTTCGTTTGTGTCCTTCAGGGGCAAAAACATTTAAAATTGAAAATTTCCACGTAATGGCTCACATGTTCTGGAACCTTAGCACTGAGGAGGGTGAGGAAGGAGGATTGCCAAGAGTTTGCTACAAGTACATGTGCTGTGTAGTGAATCCCAGGCCTGCCCAGACTGCAGACTGAGACCTTGTCAATAATAATAATAATAATAATAATAATAATAATAATAATAATAAATATTAATAGAAGAAATTTTTTGTGTTCATATTCACTACCCAGTGATGATTGACAGTAATGTATTTGCATAACTGTGTGTTCTCTCCAAGAATATCTTAGCAGAGATTTCTAGATCGCAGATAAAAATGAATCAAAATGAGCTGGCCTGGTTTTTTAGAGAAGAGCACAGTGGTGGGAGATGATTCCCAGGACTGGGGCTGCTGGAGGGGACAGCAGACGCTAAGAGCAGGGTGGCTGCTGTGGCTGCTGGAGGAAGGCTCCAGTCTGCCGAGGGAACCTTGGGCAGCTGCTATGGGCTGCCCTAGAGTTCTTATCACTCTGCACAAGTCAGACTCTCCCTTTTTTTGAACCCACGGGGCTTTGGAACCTGAGCAGCCTCTGCCTACAGGGGAAGCTTGAGAAAGGATTGCCCCCTAAGATTTTTCACCAAAACCCCTCTCTCTACCAGGGCATGGAAGGAATCAAGGTGTTTCTTCATGAAAGAGAACTGTGGCTGAAGTTCCATGAAGTGGGCACAGAGATGATCATCACGAAGGCTGGGAGGTGAGCTGGCTCTGGGCACTTGGAAGGAGGGCAGCCATTGGAGGAAAGAGAAAAAGGGAGAAGAGGAAGGGAGTCAAAACAGGAGAGACAATATTTAGTCCAGTCTGCTAAAGAGTCCTCAGCAGGATGGAGACCTACTAAATTCTTACCTCTGGGTAGGATATTCTCTCCCTGTCTTACAGGAAGATTAAAGTGCACAGGGACCTGAACTATCTGGACAGGTTATCTAGGATACAGAGAGAGAGAATGGTAGTCAGATTTGGACTTGATCCCTTGCCCCCACCCCTATTCCCACCTTCTCTGACCTTGGAATGGTTCCAGGGTCCCACTCGAGGTTTGCCAAACCCTGAATTGTTGAACGTATTCGTACTCGCTACCTCTTTCATTGTTTATAGAGAACAGGCCTAGGAAGCCCTTGAAACCTAGTGAGGAGCTACTCAGAGCTCTACATACAGACATGGATAAACACAGCCATCGCGCTGGGCCCAAAATTGCTCTTCAAGGCCGGCAGGAGTTTGAGCTAGAAAGGCTAGGGCCTGAGGGGTGGGGGGTGGGGGGGAAGGGTGGCAGAGCAGTGCTAGCTCTGGGTCTCCTGAGTGCCGTTGTGTGTCCGAGCCTGGGGAAACCTACCCCTGCAGCCGGTGGATGCTATGTGTGTGTCTCCGCCATCTAGGAGGCCGTGAGTCTGGTGCGAAGAGACAGGGGTCAGGCCAGTAGACCCAAGCTGCCGGGTGTGTAAAGGCAAAGGGTGGAGTTGATTTTTCCAGATTCTGCGGGTTCCCCAGCTCAAGCCGCCCTCAATAAACCGACAACGGTGACGTTTATTATTTCTTGAAATTAAACAATGTCCGCTCCCCCGCTCAGCCCAAGGCCCTAGTGAACTAGAAGGCGGTGGGTCTGTTTATATCAGACATCTGAGGTCCCCTTTCCCATCCTGCACAGGAGGGAAAGTCCCAGCCGGCTGCCTTTTCCCCCCTCGCTGGAGCCGAGAGGATTTAACTATAAAAGGCCTGCAAAGTCTCTTGTGCCTCTGCCTGTGGGGCAGATAAACACGAAGTGGTCAGGGCTGCCGGCCTGAGGTGGAGAGGCCTTCTCTCCCCTCTTCTCTTGTTGCACCAACCCAAGTCCAACGACTCGTCCTGGGGCGCAAATCCAGCCGGATCCCTTGCCTTCTGGAGCGCGGTTCTCACCAGAGCTTAAGAAAAGAATTCTAGTGGGGCCGGGCATGGGGGAGCCCTAGCAATCTGACGTCTGCGCCAGTTGTGTGCCATCAGCTTTCTAGTTCAGGCTTCGGCCCTCTCTAAAACGGATTTCTGGAAGGGTTTGAAATTTCTTTCCCGAGTGCCTGGGAGTTTAAGCTCCCCAGGGAAACCTGCCAAGCGCTGTGGAGAAGTTGCAGATCATATATGAGTAACCGCACGCTGGCGACGTGGGCCTGGTCACTAACCCAGCGAACTTGGAAGCCGCTCTAGCTTCCAAGTTAACTGCTAGCTACAGTTAACCTGTGCCTCCAAGGGCAGAGGACTAAACTTAGTCTCCACCGTGATGCGTCTCTAGGGTGCCACCTTGGTTGGCAGCCTCGAGGTGGGGTGGGGGCCTTGAGTGAAAAAGTGGCTAGCTTTGTACCGAGTGGGCCTCTGCCTTAGCCAGATGCTAGGCTAGTCCTGGAAAGTCAGTCTCTTTAAACACACTAATTTGTAGGCGTGAGTCCCCGGGCCCTACTTTTCTCCCAAGGTGTCTGCAGTTGCTGAGGCTGCTTCCCTTCTCTCTGCGCCCTTTTCCCCCTCCCTGTAACTTCAGGGGAAACCCGGCATGGATCTCACCAAGGATGGAGTGGGGCCAATGCGCTTTGTTTCTCCAGGAATTGCTAAAGATCAGGGACCCACTCTCCAGAGTATTGGCATTAACCCCCCCCCCTTCTTTTTATCTGTGTGTTCCCCTCCACCCTCCCTCCCAGGCGGATGTTTCCTAGTTACAAAGTGAAGGTGACTGGCCTTAATCCTAAAACGAAGTATATTCTTCTCATGGATATTGTTCCAGCGGACGACCACAGATATAAATTTGCAGACAATAAATGGTAGGTTGCAGATTTCCAAAGGACAGGGAGGGTTGGGAGGAAAGTGTGATGCCTTTCTCATCCCCAGCAATGGAGTCAGCAAATGCCTTATTGTCGTTGTTGTTGTTGTTGTTGTTGTTGTTATTAAGCTCCTACTAAAGCTCAAGGCTTGTGTGCCTCTTCTGATGCATAGAAAAAGAACTCCCATTTCATAGACCTGAAAACTGAGGCCAACAGGAAGTGAGGGGACCCTGCCTACTTCTACAACCACATAGTCTGCCCTTTTTATTTTATTTTAAATAGGTATTGTTACCGAGTACTGGATATATTTCTGGGGGGCATAAAAACCATTTACAGTTATTTTTTTTTTATGAGTTACCTGCTTTGAACATGACTGCTTTTATGAAACTGCAAAACTGGCCAATGGCTTTACTGGTGAAGCAGTCAGCAGAGGAAAAAAAAAAACAACAAAAAAACAAAAAAACTATTCCTGGGCTCTATTGCTCCTCAGGCAGCCAGCAGCACACAGCTCAGGAGCTGGAAGAGAATGGCTCCTTTAAAAGTTCTTAAGGAGTTTTCTAGAGTTTTGTGTGTGTGTATTTTCAGATACCACCAATAATTTGTGGGCAGCAGAGGCTTCAAGGCCCCACACACTCCTGGCACCGGGGTGGGGAAGGAGAAAGAACCAAGCAGGCCAGGGCCTTTCTTGGATACAGTGTGGGGTGCTTTGGGGCAGCAGAGACTGTAAAGAATTGAAGGAGACTAGAAAATTCCCCTCACAGCAGCCCCTCTCAGGCCAGCTGCCTCTGGGCCATGGAGAGCCCTGTAAACTCTCATCTCCTCCTCTTAGGTCTGTAACTGGCAAAGCCGAGCCCGCCATGCCGGGCCGCCTGTATGTGCACCCAGACTCGCCGGCGACCGGAGCACATTGGATGCGGCAACTTGTCTCCTTCCAGAAACTCAAGCTCACCAACAACCACCTGGACCCATTTGGGCATGTAAGTATCCCAGCCCCTATCAGTGTGTGGGACAACCCCCCCCCCCCCCCCCCTGCACCCTGTTTCCTTCTCTCTGGGTCTCCATCTTCTGTCTCTTCCTCCCCCTTCTTCACCCTCCCACTCCAAGATCCCATTTACATAGCCCCATAGCTGTCAGGAAACTAGTTGGGACCCATCCTCAGGATAGGCCATTCAGCAAGAGCCACCACACCCAGCTCTTTTATCTTTCCAATGTGGGCAGTGCTGTTTCACCACCGCCCTCAGAAACCTCTTTGTCACTTTCTCAATCGAATGGTACCCGGCCTTCTCTTCCCTCTTTACTGTTTCTTCTGGCTCCACCGTGCTCCAGCTCCAGCTGAGAGGACACTCTCTTCTCTGCATACCCTGTAGCCTATCCCAGGATCTGTCTCTCCTCTTCCCTGGGTGGCTGGAGATAGATTGGGCTTCAGGCTTCCCAGTTTCCAAGTTCTGCTTTATAGTTGTACTCTCCCAGGTGAGGAGAGCGAAGGTCCCATGCTTCCTCTTTCACAGGTGGTAAAGTGGACCCCGTTCAGCGCCCCCCTTAGGCTCAGTGCCCCCAGCAGATTTTATTTTATCTCACTATATCCACTCTCCTTTCCGTGCTTAGAGAAGGCAACCAGAATCTGAAACCTGGAGTCTCTTTGGCTTTAAGAGAGGGAACCAATGAATTCCCTAAACATGGGGATGATGTGAGTGGGCATGGTCTCCTCTCCCAGGTGATGCAGAGCTTTCAGTGGGTTCTCAGCCCAGCCTTGGCCTTCTTTGCCAAAGAACAACAAAACATGGGCTTTTGGAGAAAAACCCTGAATAGATTGCTTTGGTTTTGGATTCTCCATTTAGAACCCTTTTCTAAAAGGTTCAACCCTGCTCATCTTTGGACAACTGGTACTCAAGGATGCTTTTACAAAGGGAAGTCTAAGGGAGAGAAGAGGATGCACCCAAGTTCATATAGTTTGTTTGGGGACAGGGGTTTCACCAAGGGGGGCATACAGTCTCCAGCTTAGAGAAATGAGGAACTGGATTGGATGGACTTGGGAATAAGTTCAAATGAGGAATCTGCTCTTTCTGGGTGATGGTGACAGACCTGAGACCCGGAGAGAGTAGAGGTTCTACATGTGGGAGAGGAGAAGGCTGAGTAGCTGGTGGAAAGTTCTATCCTGAGTATGGCTTATGAATCATTAGATACATACCGATTCCAGTGCAGAAATGGCTTGTTGCAGGATTAGAAAGCTTGGGGTATTCCTGTGGTTACTAACCAGATATGTTATGTTCAAGGTCTTGGAGGACCTGCTGGGACCCTTGAGTGGGGGCTTCTGTGGAACCTGCAGCTGACAACTGAGTCCATCTCCCAGTATCATTTCAGCTCTAAGCTGCCCCTCTGTTTTTCTGACAGTGCTTTTTGGGGTCACTCTGGGGGTAGACAGCCAGGAAAGGTCCTGGGCTCTATAAACAGAAATGAGCCACTTAGCGGGGTGGGGTGTCAGTTCCCTTTCAGCAACCCATGGAAAAGAAGAGAAGTGCTCTACCCCGACTTTGAATCTAGAGTCACCCTGATGGAATTAGGGGCCATTAGATCACCCTCATTCTGAAGTCTCCACACTGTCCCCAGCTGTCAAAGCAATTTGGCTAAGCCGAAAGGACGGCTGTGCTGGCCCAGGGGCTGCACAGTCAAGCCGGGGCCCCAGTGCGTCTCTCTGTCGCCACACCGCTGCTCACCAGCGTCATTATAAGCCTGGGAGGTGGCCGTGTGTGTGTGTGTGTGTGTGTGTGTGTGTGTGTGTGTGTGTGTGTTTAGAGCTGGACGACCCCAGGCAGGAACTAAGGGGCCTTGCTCCAGGGTTGGGTCGGTGATTCTGCAAGCCTGCAAGCCAGAGTCAGCAATGCAGATAATCAGAGACACCGAGCCGAACCCTGCTGGTGGGGCTTTGAATCGTGTGGGAAAAGCAGGCCAGGTTTGGAGAATGGGTAAACGTGGCCCGTTGCATTAGAGAGTTTTAGGTGACTATTAAACAGTCTCTCTCTCTCTCTCTCTCTCTCTCACACACACACACACACACACACACACACACAGAGTAAACTCAGTTTCGTTACTATGAATGCTTATGCAGGAGTCCTGCTTGCCAGCCAGAATATACAGCCAGGGGTCCCCTTGATTCCCTTCCCCCTTCTTCTCCTTATTATAATAATGTGGTCATAGCCATAGCCAAGAGCAGCAGGGGGAAGCCCCATCCGGAGTACCCCAAGAAGGGAGAAGAGCAAAACCTCTTTTCCAGCAGGTGGAGAGATCCATCTTTGAGTCCCAAATGTTGATCCTTAGAGAAAGGAAACCTCCTGGTCAGCCGGTCCCTGCCCCAGTGGGGGTGTCAGCAGGGTACCCTTTCCACCTCACAGTCCTAGGAAACCAGAGCCAGCTCTCCTGTACCAGCAGCCCACCCCCCATTCCTGTCTCTGTCTGTCTGTCTCTGTGTCTCTGTCTCTCTCTCATTGACTCCTCCTTTTCATGTTTCAAAACAAAGGGCCTAGGTTTGAGGTCTATCAGAGCCACCAAGCCTCAGAAAATCTCAAACTGCTCTGCCCCATTGTCTGGGTCAGCCCTTGGCCTTCCTCAGAAGGTGTTTGAGGAGGAGTGTATGCTGGGACTATTGTATGTACGCATATATGTCCTTCCTGTCCCGGTGGCCACATTGCTGTCCAGTTTTCCCAGTCCTGGCTGGTTCCTGCCTCCAGACTTGCCAGGCTCCCGTTGGGGGGCGGGAAGTGCCTTTATACACAGAGTTAATTTATTAAGCAAACTTTATTAAGAATTCTGATTTACTGCCCTGTGTGCTTTGGGTAGGTTCCTGGAATATTACCTTGACTTTCTTATGTGGAAATTGTCATTTTTGAAATGTTTCTTTTAGATGAAATCATTGGCCCCTTTTCAAAACAGAAGAAAAAAAAAAGACAATTTTTTTTTTTCTTTCTGAGAGCCCATATAATAAAGCTAATTGGCAGTGCAGATGGGGGAGGAGCAAGGACCCAGCTGGAAACAAAGGGAGTTTTGATTTTTTTCTTTTTCTGACAATCTCATTTTCTCTGTTATTTTTAGATTATCCTGAACTCCATGCACAAATACCAGCCCCGATTACACATCGTGAAAGCAGACGAAAATAATGGATTCGGTTCAAAGAATACTGCGTTCTGCACCCACGTCTTTCCGGAGACCGCGTTTATCGCCGTGACTTCGTACCAGAATCACAAGGTAAGCCGGGAGCTCTGGCCGCCGCCTGCACCCGGGGCCGCCTGCTGCTTTTCGGTGGACGCATGCGCTGCGTCCTCGCCGGACCGCGGTGCTTAGAAGCTGCGCGTGGGTCTACAGTCCTGCAGCCTCAACTGCTGTTCAACTCCAGGGGACTGGGAGACGGGCCGGGTTGGAGCTGTTTGCATTATATTCCCGGTGGGGGAGGATCTCTCTCACCCACCTTTTTCTAGTTAGAGTCAGACTTGTCATGCACTTGGTACCGTTGGTGCCGGTCTACGGGTGCTGGCATGGATGGTTTAGTGCTTCCCTTGGTGAGCATTGACTTTTCGGTTGAGGACGGTGTCCTGTTCTTTAGAGGCACCTCAAGCGGCCTTGGGGCAGGTGTCAAAGCGGAGGATACTTGGGGGAGGGGGGAGCTCCGCGTGAGCTTAGCTGAGACTGTCCCCTCCCCCTCGGTCTGGATGCAGTTTGCTGTAAAGGCTGTCGGGCTGACGGGGAGGGCAGAGGAGGGTCCCAGGCAGGTTTAGTTCCGGGTCATCCAGTGGAGGTCATTCTGGTTCCGGCTGGGTGGTAGATATTGCCTCAACTGATCCTCTGTTAGAACCGGCTGTGGGCAGTCTCCAAACTGTGATGGATGGTCCCTTCCAGATCTAAGGAGCGCTTCCTTCCCTTGCCCCAGAAGAAACCCTGCCCCCTCTCCAACACAATTACTTTTTTTTTTTTTTTTTTTTGAAGGGAAGAAACAGGGTTGACCCCAGCCAGGGCAAAATGGTGAGGTCAGCTGCTATGATTTATCGAAACTATGACTGGCACTCCTAGAAATTGGCTTTCTTGTTTAACTGTGGCCACTCCACTCCTTAAAGGCTCCCAGAGAGGACACAAGAGCCACAAATACCTCATCCACCTCCCACTCAGGCAAGCCCAGGTTCATAGAGGAAGGGTGGGGTGTGTGTGTGAACATATAAAATGGCCTTTAAAAATGTGGATCCGCAGACCCTTGGCATGGTCTGAGTCCTATGTCATGATAGTGTTATGCACAGTGGAGCGGACATTCACTGTCCCCTCTCCTCCTCTCTCTTTGTTATTTTTTTTTAGGTTTGTACAGTATGCAGTTTATTGCTTATTTGTTTTTGTTTGTTTGTTTTGAGTGTACTGGGTTTGAACTCACAGCTTCAAGCATTGCTAAGCATACATCCACTCAGCTGCTTTCTGGCCTCTTGACATCTACTCTATCGTGAGTGTGACATGTGGACACACCGCCCAGCGCTGTCATATTTCTTTGTTGTATGTTTACCGTGTGTGTGTGTGTGGGGGGGGGAGTCATACATGTGCTGCTATAGTATGCTTGTCAAGACCAGAGGACAGCTTGTTGGTTCTTTCTCTCTCCCTGCTTGTGAGTCTCGAGAACTGAACTTCAGGCTTGGTGGCAATAGCACCCTTACCTGCTGAGCCATTTTGCTGGGCCATGTATGAGTGTGGAGCGCAGTCCTTTGGACTGTGGGTCTAAACATTCACACATCTGCCAGCATGGGTCTCCAGCCACCCATTTGGGTGTGTTTATTGACTGCATAGAAGCTCCACAGGAATAGCTTTCTGTATTAGTTGGGTCTAGTTCAAGAGCACATGAAGACCTTTTTATTCAGGTGGATAGATCCTGGACATGCTCAAGAGGGCTTCCAGGAGACAGGTTTCTGCCACCCTGTCTCCCTGTCGAGCCCCAAAGTCGTTAATTTTCTGCATGAAGCACCCAAACAGATACACTTCCCAGTCAAGTCCAAGACTCTCGAAAACATTCCTCAAGCGGATATACGACGTGTGACTTCAATAAGTGGGCCATGGTTTCTTACGATTTGTGGACAGCGTCTCTCGTTTTATTGTCCCAGCTGGGATGGGTGTTGAGATGGCTGAGGGCATGGGTAAGCCAGCTGAGATGTTAACACCATGTGGATTAAGGGGTGGGGAGACTGAGTTCTCAGATTCAAAGGAAAGCTCTAACTCGGTTTCCCATCTGTAAAATGGGAATCCCAGCAGCCACTTCATGGGTCCTTGCTAGATGGCATAGGTGCCAAAGCCGTGGTGTGGCTCTGGCCAATGGTCCGTTTGCTCACAGGCCAGCTCTGTTCAAAACCTTGGTGTTTTTGGAGAACTCTTTGCCTGCTCAGCATCACTCCTTGATTATGTTAAACTCTGAATGACTGACGTTTTAAAACTAGATCTTATTTTTGTGGTTGAAAAATAACTGCAAATACTGGTCTCTGTGGTTTCCTTGGAATTGAGAACTAAACTTGTTTTGTTTTGGATGAATGAGTCTGGGGAAAATACTCTGGGTGAGTGAACAGCCAGGGATACCTGGGGATGCACCCCAGTTTGGGGGGTGGGTTAAAGAACGAAGGATGCTTTCTCCATGGGAGCTGAGGTGCCAGGTAGGGGTGAGGATGTGGCAGCATTCCTTTCTTAGGCTTATAAGGCACATACACAGGACCCTTAATGACGAGCTGAATTTTCTCAGCCCAGCTGTGACCCTAAGCTGGATTTGGGAGTTATTTCCCCAGATGTTTGACAGCCCGAAGGGGGAAAAAAAGATATTTAAAAACTCGAGTCTTCCCCAGTTCACTTAGGAAACACGGTTTTGTTTGCGTTTTCACAGCAGTTGTCAGCAGCTCCCAGCACAGTGCCTAGAAATATGTAGGTGTTTAACACAAGTCACTGGGGCATTTCATTTCCCGCCTCTTGCTACAATGGCTGTGTATGCAGGCACGAATACCCCTCAGTGCTGACTGACTTTTCCATCCTAAGGAGCTTTGCTCCAGTTTCAAATCCCTGTGTATGGAGTTCATATTTATGAGGTATGAGCTCTCTGGTTGGGACCAGGAAATGAAGCCCCTAATAGAGAGACATAATTAAGATTTTTTTGGCCCTCATGAGTTGTTTTTTTTTCCCCCCCAAAAGCAAGAATTTGCAACAATTATTTTCATTAATTTTTACAACCGCTGTCTCACTGGTTGGAGCCGGCATTTATATTTGGTCCCCCCCCCCCATCCCTCCACCGGATATCCGGTTTTATGCTGATTTTG